GTTTGAGGATTCGGGTGACGATGTAGAGGACCAGGCGGCCTTCGGGTTTGGCGGAGTGGATGGTTGGGCGGCCTGAGGCATGGCGTTTGAGCTCGGTGATGCCAAGCTCGTTGAGGATAAGGCCCTCGTTGTTGAGCACCCAATCCTCTCCACCATAGTGTGACACATCGTCGCCTTGGAAGGGGAGGCCGGCGATGCGCCCAAGCCGCTCCACGGTGAGCTCGATCGGCGTGCTCTTGACGAGCGAGTAGAGCACGTCGTCCTCACGGCGGAGGTTGGAGTAGAAGCTGGGAGACAAACGGCCAAAGGCCGGCTTGATGAAGCTGCGCGTCGAGGTCGTCGTAGCCCTGCAACTCCGGGTAACGCTCCGGGATGATTCGTGGGGGAGCCACAACCCGTTTAGAGAAGAAGGTGAGAAAACGGGTGCGCTCCTCCTCGGAATCGAACCAGAGATACGTCCCATCGCCGTAGTCGATGCGATCCTCGGGATTGGTTACCGGTGCCCGGGATTTGGCCTTGGATTTTCCGGAAGCTCCTGCCCTGTTCTTATCTTTGGCCATGGTGATGAAGAAATCTCAAAAAGAATGTTAGAGAGGATAAAATATGCAAGGAGATTGAAGAAGTTTGTGTTTGTGTGTGTAAAAATGAGAAGAGGGGGTCCAAATATATAGGAGAGAGGGAGTCCAACGTTCAAAAATTTGAAAAAATAGCTGTTGGAGCTATTAATGCAGTTGCCAACGGATGATTTTTTTGAAAAAGTTGACCTGAACAGCGATGTTCTTTAGGCGACATCGCTGTTGGGACAGCGCTGTTGTTCCTTGTACAGCGTTGTTCTGCGTCAAGTTTTAAAAAAACAAGAGTCAAAAGGACAGCGATGTTGTGGGTGAGACATCGCTGTTAGAAAAGTTTCTGGTTTAGGTTGAAAACAAGAAGTTTTGGGAAGACAGCGATGTTCAGAAGAGAACATCGATGGACAGCGCTGTTGGAAAACTTTCTGGTTGGCGGTGTTTCCCTCAACAGCGCTGTTGTGTCTCCTGGACAGCGCTGTTTGCATGGTTCCCCCTGATTTCATGAACGGGGTACCTGCAAAAAAGAAAAAGTTCTCCGACGCTCAAGTTAGTAAATGTTTAATAAATTTAGACGCACAACTTAGATCATCGTGGAGTCAAGGATTCCGAGTTCACTTCGAATGCGGAAGAACGACTCTTTCTCTAAAGGTTTTGTGAAAATGTCGGCTAATTGGTTGTGTGTTTCAACAAACTCAATCTCGACATCACCTTTGAGAACATGATCTCTAATGAAATGATGCCTAATGTCAATGTGTTTCGTCCTTGAGTGAAG